TAATTCCCAAATAAATATTATTAAAACTCATAGATTCCCAAAAAGAGGCATTCTTTACGCAACGAAGGGAATATAAATTTAAAAGCATTGGTTTTTCTCCCTAAGAATAACACACATACACATTTTACCCTTATAAAGATATGAAACTCAAAATCTTTCACTTTGAGAGGTAGTGAGATACCATTGAATTAATACCCTTGGTGTTGTAACATTTTTAAAACATGAAATTAGTTGATGACAATTGTGAATATATTTTACGAAAATATTATGAATCTATAATTAAGTTAAATATTATTTTAGTTGATTTTTTTTTTTTTTACCTTATTATTGTTTATAATTTAATAAGTATTTTTTTTAGAGAGAGAGAGAGCTAGCTTCGAGTGAATTATCATCAACACATAAATAGATTACAAGAAATAATAATATAGATTATTACAATCATATGGGAACCAGGAAACCACTTAATGGGCAAAGCTATACAAGATTAAGCAACTAGTTTTAAAAAATGAACAAATAATAAATTTTGATGCTTCTTTTAAGTCATCAAGCAATTTCGTGTATAAGCTCTGTTAATTGTCCTTGACCAAGAAAAAATTTTCAACAATTAGATTATTCTTGTTTCCTGGTCACCGACTAATCTCTCTTCTTCAATCTCGATCAAGTTCTTCATGACTGCGTCCGAAGCACTCCTCAAAAAATCAGACCAATCCCTACAAACCCAACAGAAAACAAAACATTAATTCCTACATCACAAATGCTCAATAATTTAAAAAAACGTATACACACATATACGTGTGTATTTGTTGTGTGTATAAATATATATATATATATATATATATATAATTTTATTGTAGTCCTTATAATGCAATCAAGGTACAATATTTCTTGAAGAAAATTAAAGAGGTAATTCAATAAATAATTATACCCTTTGGAAGAGTCAAATGTAAGTCCCACTGTGTACTTGGCCTCCTCAAGAGCCCATCTAAACCTATGCAGGTCCTTCTCTGGACAGTTTTCACTGTTAACCCTAAGCTCAGATGGTTTCATATCACAAAAAACTGGTATAACCCTTTTGTTGGACTCAATGAGAAGAGACAACTCATGAAGACAAAAGGGGGACTCACAGTAACGAGGCGAAAACACGGCGATCCCAACCTTACAATCCCTAATGGCCATGTCTATCTTTTGGAACAACTTGTCACCTGGCTTCATGTTCTTGCTGTCCAGAAATGGACGAAGTTTTAACCTAACAAAGTGATCGTAAAGCAGCCCGGAAACGTTCATCTTGGTGTCGATGCCACGGTGATTGATGAAGACGTCGCAGGGTTGAGATTTGAGAATTTGATGGCACACATACTTGGCTAATGATGATGAACGTTGCATGGCTTCTTGATGAAGTTGAATATATATATATATATATATATATATATATATGTATAGCTAACTTTAGTACAAATTTGTACCTTTTACTACTTTTAGTTGTTTTGTTTGAGTTTGTAGTTGGTGTGCGACTTCTTTATTTGATGGGTATTTATAGTTTTTTTGAGATGATTTGATTAATGACCAGTTTAGTTGATGATTTTCTAGGAAAGAATGTGATGGACTAGCTAGATTGGACCTAAGAAAATACCTGGTATTTGATAGGGCGGGACACAGGAAAGAGCAAAATGTTTGGAATATTTTGACTTATATATCCCTAGAATTATATTTAAGTAACTGTTTAATCCTTCAAACACGCACAGAAGAAATGAGAGAGGTTGGTTGGAAAAATTAAGAAAACGAAAGAGGCGGGTCATTTTTGTCAGTCACCAAGATTTTGTCACCATGGCCAATTTTTAGTTTTTTCCAGATATCGCCCAACAGGGGGTTTCTCACTAGATATAGGCGCTTCATAAGCCATAGGTTTGGGGTTCGAGTTCTCGCTGGGTATTTTTTTGTAGCTAACCTCAGTTGTTCTTGCAGTAACTTATCCGGTTCGGGTGGAGAGACGCTCTTCCAAATCCTTAAGAATTAGTCGAGTAATGAGGGGCCTAAAGATTCATGCCTTTTCAGACACATCAAAAAAAAAGTTTATAATATTTTTAATATACATATTTCCGTGCTATCTCTTTTTCTTTTCTTTTCTTTTTTCATTTTTTATAAAATATAAAAGAACCTCTCCAACCGTAGTCGCATCCTCTTTTTCTATTATGCGATACTAACTAAGAAAATAAAATAAAAACTTGTAGTTAAGTGATTACAAACTTTACTTATAATTGGTTCAGCATTTGGGTATCGTTTTGTCACTACAATATAATTTCAGTTCATTAATTTGAGTTGAGACTAAATTTTAGACACACTCTCGGTGTAAATGTGTTAGCATTTAAATGTAAGATATTCCGTGTGTAAAAAATGTTGGACGTTTTTAAGAAAGACTTCTTCATATCCATAATACCAAGTAATCCAAGATATCGATCAATAATATTTTATTATACAAATAAAAATATTTAATTTTAATAAATTATATGACTATATATTAGTATTTAATGGATTGGTGTGATACTAGAAACTATAATTAGCGTTGGTTTTGTTACAATAATTTGGGCTCATAAATTCATAATGGGCAACTGGTCTTTGACTTGGTTAAACGATGACGGTGAGGTCTATGTTAGAAAATTAACAAGACGGTGGAACACAAAGGAATGTCAAGTTGTCAACACGCGTGGATTCTCTTTAATTACCGAAAAAAAACACGCGGATTCTCTTCAACTTCAAGAAAATAAAATTATTTTATAGATAGAAACAAATTTGTAAATAAAGAAATCCAACTAATTTAAAACGAAATAGTGCAACGGCTTTAACACTTTTACAATTAGAGATGATCTTGAATTAAAAAATTACAGCCTTAAGTTAATTAGAGTTGGGCTTGGTTTAGACTGCCACCAACGAGAGCCCAACTATATCTATACTTTTCACATCTATTATAATTTTAAATATTTTACGTACATGTATGTATATTTAAAAATCATGATCAATATTTTCTTTTAATTTTTTCTTTAAATCTTAAGTTATTATATATATTACTCATTGGAGAACTATCCTGAATTTTTTTATAATATATATTTCAAAATTTTACATTCAATTTGAGAGTTTGTTTATGCCATCTAACTTAAAATTAATCCAAAATCAATCCATTTTTTTCTAATCTGGGCCGCAAGTTGCATCCCTATTTAACAGTGACCACAAGAATTGAATGCGTCAATTAAGAAAAATTAATATATGGTTAGATATTATGTAGTCCCAGCCAAGACCAATCACAACGTGTCACGTACACGAACCAAAAAAAACGGGATCATTTTTTTTCTAAGTTAGATTATTTTATAGATAGAAATAAATAAATTTATAAATAAGTAAATAAATTTATAAATAAGGAAGACAGCGATTCCAAACAAAACAACAAACCCTCCTACAAAAATATGATTAGTAAATTAATTAGAGTGAACAAGTATTGTGTTGCCCAAATGATTGGGTTACTTCTAGTAGTTGGAAATCTGTATTCGAGCCTTGCACCCTTCTCCTTCTTTTTTTTTATAAACATATCATAGCTAGAAAAAGATTATGTGGGTTAATTAGCAAATTTAACCCACATAATAATCTGCTCTAACATAATGTCAATCTTAGTTTAGCTGAGTTTAGTCCCAACCCCATTGATTCTTCTTCATTGAAGTCTCAAGGTCCAATCATTTGCGAACTCTTGTGTTTAATTACTTAGTTTGTATCTTGTAATCAATACTACTTTAAGTTCATTCAATGGACCTCGATTGCACATATATATAAATTTTCTTTCTTGGCACAACAATAAGAGCTGAAGACCTTTAACAAAATGTATATATTTTTTTGTTAAAACAATCAATCATGTGTCAAATGTATTGCAGCCGATCACTTTAACATTAAAATTTTCAATTTTTATATGTTAAAAGATTAATTTATAATTTTTTATAAATTGAGAATATTTGTTGCCACAGGAAATAGTAAAGGGAATATTTTGTAACTTTTTAACAGCACAATGAAGTTGAGAGCAATTTGGCCAAAAAAATATATATACAATTTTCAATTATCCTATTAGGCTTGGAGAAGGCATGGTTTTTAGGAGAGGCGGGATGTGAATAAAAAATGTATTACTTTTTATATTTTTTTTATTTATAGATAATTTGTTTTTGTGTCAAATATATATATATATATATATATATAGTACTATTCCGTATATAACTAGTTTGGCCCTCCCTAAGCAAGAATTTATTGCATCCGCCCCTGCATTGAGGGATGCTTATATTGTCTCTTAATTATAATCAGAGCTTGCATTTATTCAGTCAAACAAAAATATTTTTATTTTGGATAAGTCACACTATCCTTCCCGAGCCTTCGTCAATATATACTGACATTCCTTCTTGTTTATCAAATTATATTTACCTCCCTTAAAAATTTTATGTAAATTAATAACATATACTTGATACTTCCCCTTCATTAACTGTCAATGACAAAAAAAAAAAATCTAATATGAGCAATTTTGTAACTTTTAAATTTCAATTTTTACCTTTGGAGAAAGGTTTATTGCAAGACAAATGTATGTACAAACTCAATAAGTCTGGCAAGGAGGTCAGTGTAATTTAACAAATAAGAGGGAAGGTATAATTTATCTATCCTCTAATTATTATTATTTTTTATATGGCAATGTCTATTCAATCTGCTAAGCATGCAATTATACAAATGGAGTACTATGCAATTAAAAGGGTAGGCTGGAGACATAATTAAAAGGGTGGGTCTGGGAGAAGCCCGAAATATTAGCCCATCAGAGTGGGCCTGATTAGGTATATCAAATACATCAAAAGAGCCCAAAAGAAGGCCCAAGACTAACTGAGACATAGCCCGTTGCTTGAACTAGCTGTGGACTAATGAGGTAGTCAAAGAGAATTCAGAAAGTTGTTCAGAATTGACAAAGACTATTTTTATTTGGGTATTGACTAATCTCTCTTCTTCTTCAACCTCTTTTTTTTGGGTAAATCTCTCTCTTCTTCAACCTCGATCAAGTTCTTCAGGACAGCCTCCGAAGCACTCCTCAGGAGATCCGCCCAATCCCTACAAACCCAATAAAAAACAAAACAACCCTTCATCCATCAGAAATGCTCAAGAATTCAAACATGTGTGTGTAAAAACACACACACATATATATATATATTTGTGTGAGTGTAAGTATATACAATTCACCTTCTCTCAAAAAGGGGAGGAGAGGGGTTCGAACCAGGCTGGGCGTGGGCGTGGGCGTGGGCGCAGTGTGTGAGGACTTACCTTAAAATAAATATAATGCTCGAAGAAATTAAAAGAGGTAAATAATTATACCCTTTGGAAGTGTCAAATGTAAGTCCCACAGTGTACCTGGCCTCCTCAAGAGCCCATCTAAACCTATGCAGTTCCTTTGCTGAACAGATTTTACTGTCCCTAACCCTAAGCTCAGAAGGTTTTACATCACAAAAAATGGGTACAACCCTTTTCTTGGACTCCATGAGAAGAGACAACTCATGAAGACAAAAGTAGGACTCGCAATAACGAGGCGAAAACACGGCGATCCCAACCTTACAATCCCTAATCGCCATGTCTATCATTTGGAGCAACTTGTCACCTGGCTTCATGACCTTGTTGTCCAAAAATGGACGGAGATTTAACCTAGCAAAGTGATTGTAAAGCAGCCCTGCAACGCTCCTCTTCGTGTCGACGCCACGGTGGTTGATGAAGACGTCGCAGGGTTGCGATTTGAGAATTTTATGGCACGCATACATGGCTGATCTAAAACGTTGCATGGCTTCTTGATGAAATGAATATATATATATATATATATATATACCTTTTACTACTTTTTAGTCCTTCGATCTTTATTTGATGGGTATTTATATAGTTTTGTAAGATTAATGACCAGTTTAATTGATTATTTCAAGGAAAGTGATAGATTAACTACCCTAAGAAAATATCTGGTATGGAGTATTTGATTTCGCAGGACAAAGGAAAAGAGAAAACTGTTTTTGAATATTTTGACTCATTCCTTGGCCGGAAAGATATGTGGCCATGAAAGAGGGTTTAAGCCCTGGAATTATGAGCATGTGTTAATGCTGGAAAATTACATAAAAAATAAATAAAGTGTTTAATGTTAAATATATATATATATATATATATATATAAAATTATTTACGTATTCATGATAATTACGAAGAGAGTTTTGGACATTATTAGAAAAGGAGTTCACTTTTTGTTATATAAAAGGGTTTCATAACCCTATTTATAACCCTTCTCATTTCTCACATAAAATATTTCAAATTTTAATCGTTAATTAAATAGGATTGTTAAATTTTTTTATTTAATTATTGCAATATTTTTTATTATTTTGAAATCGTACAATGCAGCAATTAATGAAACTTTACACATTTATGCATAGTTGACAGTATAGTTTAGATCAAGGGTTTTGTAATTTAGTTGTATCTCCTTTATCGTTTAAAGTGAACAATAAGAGTTCGAGTCTCCAAATTGTGCAAAATAAAGTGAGTGAGTGAGTGAATTACTATATATATATATATATATATATATATATAATGTATATGAATGTAATGTCCACAAGATGTGAATTTGGAACAAATAAAGTATTAACATTTTTTTCCAAGCAACTTCACTTCTCATTTTCAAAACAAAGTTCAAAAATTTCTTTTTAACATTTTGAAATCAACAAGTGTGATACAAAGACATTTTAAACATTTAAGAATCATTTTGCCATCAGTTCGTTTTTTGATAGAAAACGGCTGACAAATTAGTATTCACATTTTCACATGTGATTTTGTTGATTTTTGATAGAGATTTTCTACGAGTACAAATTTCTGTTTTCACGTGTGATAATCTGAGTCTCTGAGAGCTTTTTCATTGACTTACTTACAAGAATAGTGGGTGTGTATGTGTGTGAGAGAGACCAAAAATATTCCACTGGCGATCAAAATGTATTAATAAATCCCGGCCCCATGAATTTTCTACTAACGTAATGTTCACATCCATATTTTGCTGAAGGACAATCAATCAACACTCCGAGCCCCCAAAAAAAACAAAAACATTTATTATTATTATACATCAGTTCGCTGTATGATTTATATATAATATTACTTTTCTTCTTAATTCGATTCATATACAATATTACTTTTTAATTCACTTTGCAATCTTGATTCTTGTTGTAAACCAATTACAACCGCTATTATTAATAATTTTTTCTTATTTTTGTGAAACTTTAAGGATTTTATTTTATTGACATTTCTTATTCTCCTCTCACTATCCATATACACGTACACATACAACTAAAAATCTCACAGTGCATTCTTTACTCCTTTTTTTTTTTTTTTTTTTTTTTTTTTTTTTTTTTTTTTTTTTTAGCCTCTCACTAATAATATATGTTTATATTAGGTGTGACAATTTATACCTAAATTCATTAAATCGTCCAAATTCGTTCACCATAATTAAATTATTTGGGCACTCAAATTTAAGTGAGGGGTCAATAATGGGTAAAAACATAAATACCCATACAATTCAAGGATCATAAATGGGTTAAGAGTGAGTACCCATCTTAACCCGCTCAAATAAATTAAAACCCTTTTTTTTTCTTTTTCAGTGATAACTCTCTATCACCGCCTCACTCTTCAACTTCCTATATCTATAATTTTATAAAGAAAAAATAAGACACAGATTAAAATATATAACCATTATTTATACCATTGATATATGAATTAATTAGGAGTGGCAAATTAGCGGGTTGGGCCGAATTTGGATTGGGTTGAAATTGGACGAGTCAAATATAGGTAAAGACCCATATTTATCCCGTTCAGGACGGTTTAAAAATGAGCGGATCAAATATGTATAGGATCAACCCGTTATGACCCGTGAACCCATTAATTATTATTTTTTAACTATTTTTTTAAAAATTATTTTTAATTTTTAATTTTTTAAAAAAAATTTATTTTGTTAAATTTTTTAATTATTTTTAATTATGTCTAATTATTTTAATTTTTTAATTTTTAATTTTTTTTCCGGAAGGTTTTAAAATTTTATTTAATAACAAATTAAAAAAAACAATCTCAAACTCAGCAATATTTATCGATTCGTTTTTATAGAGAGAGAAGTGAAGGAAATAAAAGAAATTTAGGGAGAGAGAAACTTAGAGAGAGGGGATTGATGATAGACAAATTTAGAGAAAGGGGATTTTAGAGAGAGATAATTTTAGAGAGAGAGAAATGAGTTGAGTGCAATATAAAATAGATGTATATTGTGTTTTTATTATGTGATGTGTGAAATATTCAATCCATCTAGATCCTCAAATTAAGTAGTTAAAAATTATCCAACTCATTTTTGACCCATATATGTTAAATATGATTCATCCAAAATTATTAAAAAGCGAACGAATATGAACAGGTTGACGAGTTGTGACCCATTTTATTACCCCTACGTTTAATGTAGCATAATAAATTCACACAGTATATAATTAAATTATATATTGAAGATACAAGATTTCGTTTCCTCTCTCTTTTCCTATCTCTCTCTCTTTCTCTAGCATTCTGTTTTCACTTTCCACCTGTAATGGTCTATTTATAGGCCATCACCCTTATTGCTGTTAACCGATTACAATTGGCCTATATTTAAAAACTCTCTTCCTTCTGGGCTTGATCTTCCAATGGGCTTGACCTTCCTCGGTGGATCCCCCAGGTTCGGCCCATTCCAGGGCGCTTTGGCATGGATCCTACTTCAATCATTCGACCCGATCCCATTCCCGCGAACTATATCCGGCCCATGCCACTTGCCGCATCCTCAACTGCCCCCATAATTACCCCTTATTGATTAGGGGGTAATTATTAGAGGCTGCTAATGATGACCTGACGGCTCGAGGAGATCGTGTGGGAGAATGGACGGTTAGATCTAGGGGTCGGCATTTCAAGATTCAAAAAGACAACTCATCGCTTTCCTGACTCCTCAGCCCTTGGGCTCACCTTGTCTTTATAAGCTTCATTGATTCTCCATCCCACCTTTTGCTGTTTGAATCCTCTCCGGCGATCTCTTGTGAAAGATCCTCCTTCCAGTGGCTTTGCAATACTTTCTGCCGTTTTCACTCTCGAAGGTTAGTTTCATTTACATTTTTCTTTTGGAAGACTTCTTTCTTCTCCCCGGAATCTTCATTCACTCTCACCATGACAGTAGATCTAGACGTTCTTCGCATGAAACTTCACCTTCCTGACGATGTAGAAATTAGAAACTGCCCCCGAGAAGTGAATATTAGAACCGGTGCTGGCCTTCTTCCCGGCGAGGTCCTGTTTTCACTCCTCCATCTCAATCTCCTTAGGTTTCCTTTACACCCTTTCTTTTGCTATGTTTTCAACAAGCTAAATCTTTCCCCTTTACAAGTAAACCCCAATTTCCTTAGGATTTTATCTGTTATGCTACTCCTGATTCGTGACAGAGGTCTGGATCTGGACCTCGTAGATCTTCTCCTCTGTTACAAGGTCAGCAAAATTAGAACTGACGAACCATTTTACCACTTTTTCCCTATTGAGAAGAGGTCCATCTGCACGGATAAAATCAAATCCGAGAAAGGTTGGAGGAAAAACATTATTGGGGTTAGGGGAGCCTGGTTCTCTCCAGCTGCGGAGGATTTCCCTATTCCGAGCGTTTTTGGAGAGTGCTCTGTCTCTTTTTACAAGAAATATAAAAACCATAAGAGTGACTGTCCTTGCGAGATTTGCATTCCTTGTTTTTGTACTTTCTTGTGCCATTCCTTAGGCATTCCTTGTGATGATTTGAGCTACAGTGTGTGCAGGGATAGGGATAACTACCTGAAGCAGTACGTTCTGACCAACGTTCCCTCCTGCTCGGACCTTCTCACCTCAGACAATCTCCTCGATATCTCAATCCTCGGCAAGACAATGAGCCAACTCCAGATCCCTTCCTTCGGCAGGAAGAAAACTGCCCCCAGGCCTGCTACCACCCCTGCATCAAATTCCTCACCGGCTTCAGCATCTTCCTCCGCTACCCTTTCTGATACCACTCTTTCCACCTATCCATCCGTGACGGCTGCTGACCCGGTCGCTAACACGGTGACTGCCAGTCCGAACGTTACCCCCTCTGTCAACAATCCTCCTGGTTCTACTACTGCTTCCGCATGGGAAAAGGCCAGAGGAAAAAGGCATCAACCTGACAGTGCCCTCATCATAGATGACGTTCCCTTGTCTCAGAGGGTTAGGCCCTCTGGGCCGAATGTGATATCCCTGGCGAGACCTCCTCAAGCTAGGCCCCCAACCCCTTCTGGGCATGCCTCCGCTTCAGGAACGGCGTCATGGAGCCCTCGCTTCATTCGAACAGACGAATCGTCTGTAAAACCGACCAAGACCATGTTCAAAGATGGTCAGACCGCAATGGCTTACTACAAGAGTATGTGGACTCCCAAGGACATCGAGGTAGCCAAAGGTCTGTCTCAGAGGGAGGTGTTCAACCGATTTCCCTTGTCCGCCATGGAGGTAACTTCTGTCCCTTAGTCAATAAATCTTTACACACTCTTGACACTTATTTTCTTCTAACCATCTGCTCGGCTTAACCAATTGTCCTGTATATCTCTACAGACCTTGTACGGGATGATGGCTATGCAGAAACAAGTTGAGCATGTGAATGCCAAGGTCCGCGTGCTTTCTGAAAGCCTTAATGCAGCGAACAAGGAGAACGATGATTTAGCTGCTCAGAAGACCGGGTTGATGGTTCAGCTTGGTAAAAT